GGACTGGGAACAGGGGCAGGGATTTGTTCTGAAGCAAACATGTTTATGATGAGTTCCCTAGTCTGATGCTAAGGAACAAAAGGCTCATTCTTCATTCCCAGAATGAGCATTAACAGTAAACAGCCTGCTTGGCATTGTCCTGCAGCATCAGATAATTTTTCATCCAGGCTTTTCATGGGATGATGTGTTCCACCATACAGGTGTGTCTATTTCAGTGGTGTGTGAAACACTTACCATTGATCTAAAATTGTGAAAATGGCCTTTTACAAGTGAAAAGCCACAGAAATATGACCTATTATCCTACTGGTCAACCACCAGGGCGATCATCAGTATTTGAGTTTGCCTCTAGAAATCACTTTATTGATAAGTTGCAGTTATCTATCTCTGGCTCTTTCTGTGTGGCTTTTGACTGTCATATGCGTCCAGGTGCAGTAATCCACAAAAGGTGATTCTCCTTAGAAGCATCTGTGTGAAAGGAGTGTGTTTGTGACACCACTTTTTCCTTTATGTAATATTTTTAATGTCATCCAATTCTCTTGTAATAGGAAACCATGGATATTCAGGGAGAGAAATTGGAAATCAAATGATAAATAATATAAGGATAGAGAAGTGTTGAATTTGGACTCTAGATATTTGTTAATCATTCTACCCCCAATTAAAAAAAAAAAAAAAAAACAGATTTCTCTTTGCTGCTTGGGACACAGTCTAAAAAAATTATTGAATAGATGAGTAAAAATATTGGCCTTAAAATTGTAAGTTACTTACACTTTTTCCTCAGATTAGTTTTTCAGGGGCAACAGAAGAAGCAAGTGAATCCTTTATTGATTGTCATTTGGTGGCATTTTTAATAATGAAATTTAAATATAGACTAGCAGTAGGGTGGGTTCAATTTGGACAGGACACGTGTTAACTTTCTGGGTTGTTTACTCACTGTAGACACCGACTTGTTTTAAAGAAGGGTCTGCGTGTTGATCTCCTTTGTCTCCAGAAGGATTGATTGACGGATGTTGTGTCTGCTCATTTACAGTGTTTTTCTTGTTTAATTTAAAAAATTGTGACATAGTATTACATGTTCCTTGTATACATCATTTTTGCAGAAGAAGTTGTTTAGCCAATATGTCGACTTAGCTTATGAAATCCTCTCTGTGGCTTTCAGTCAGCCCTAGTGTACTTCATTAGGTCGTATCATTCCTTTCCTGCACAGAAATAGTCACCAGCAGCAAAATTTAACATTTGGTCTTTTTAGGTACAAAGATGAATCAAATGTCTGACAAGATTTGTTTCTGGTACATATTTCAGGGTCCCCCCACCCAATTTATGGGCATACGACAAATGTTACTAACGGGTACTTTTAGTTTTTAAAATATGGACAACAGTACTCCATGCAGTAAAAGACTTGAGCGATTAATGCTACCCTTATGCCTCTTTTGAGTAGTTTTAGCCATAGGGCTTGGCACTGCCACCATTGTCTTTGTGCCAAAAAATATCCGCAGCGGCTGTCGCATTCTAGTACTGGAGGGTTGTCTCGAAAATTCCGCAGTGAATGCGCCGGGTTTGTTGATCACTGCTATCTCTTTTAAATATTGGGAAAATAGAATCTTTAGCTCTTTCAAAGCACCCGTTGTGGTTGTGAGGATGGGGGTGGGTGAGTGGTGAAGAGCTGAGAAAGAAGAACGAGGCTGTCCTCACCAGCCAGTTGGTGTAAGTGACAAAAATCCCTGCCTGACAAACATAGAGTAAATGCAGATATTTAGGGTCTTTTGTGTTCCTGAGCACAAATAGTTACTTAAGGGTCCTACTCAAACGTGTTATCTACACTCTTGAAAATGTTATTATCTGAAATAAATGTTCCAGTGAATTTTAAGCAGAAAATCAACATCAAGACCGTAGCTAATTCTTAATGGACAATTTACACAAAAGATACAGATATGTATCCTCCCCCCCATTGGAAACAGAGGTGTCATTTTAAAATGGCTGCTTTTTATTATTTAAAAAAAATGATAGGAATGAAAATCTTAGTTTGAGAAGGTCTTGGCTATTGGTCCACAAGTCCAGATTATTTTGCTCTCAAACAGGGGTCTGGGTTCTGAGGGCAGTTTGTAGTTGAATTTGAGAACAAAAAGCTTTAGTAAAGTCAAAGGCTTACACTATCAGAATGAAATGTGTTCACTCATGATCTCCGGAGCAATCTATTTGATGGTGAAAGTGGATGCTACAGATGAAATCTTCACAAGGAGCATAATCCTTGGGAAAAAAAAGTCCACCTCCCAGCCTCCTGCTGGCTGCACTGCCTCTTTGGTACCTCGCAGACTTCGACAGAGTCCTGGACGGGTGCCCATTGATGTCATGGAAACACTCACATTACTGAGAATGATTCATGTCTATGCTGGTCTCTTATCCTCCCCCACACAAATAGGAGTAGATTTTTAACCCTGACAACTTGTAATTTGCAGTGGGGTTTATTTTTGTATCTGGATAAATATTTTTTAACAAGCAAAATTAAGATTAAGCAGTCTGTATCTGATATGATAGTAAAGAATGCCGGGCCTTGTAGCCAAGCGTACTTCGGGACGCATGCGGCATGAATTCATATTTCTCCTCTCTTCTGCCCCTGCCTCTCCCTTTGTACCCTCTGCTCTTTTCCTCGCTCTCTTTCTCCTCCACCTATTCTCTTTCTCTGTCCCTCTTTTAAAAAACCTGTTTGCTCTGCCTTTCTGGCTTTAACATAATAGAAGAAATGGCCCCAACTTATGCATATGAAGTGAGAAAGATCCTGGTAGGAAAATTCTTCTCTTTAGTTCTTTATACTAAAGTTGAGTCTAGAAAATAAGGCTGATAGTAAAATGCTATAGGGGATCTGTTCAGTACTTCCTTCTGAAGGGAAAATAGAATGAGGGCCTTTCTTTCTCTGACTGTTTTGCCTGCTGTAAGTTAATTTTCTGAAATTCTCAAAACAGGATACTTGATGTTCAGTTACCTACAAAGTCATAAGCAGATTTTTCTTTTTCTTTCTTTCTGTCTGCCTACCTTGCCAGTGTAATTGTTGAGCAGTGACTATTATATCAAAATGAATTAGGTCGTGATTATACTGATACAAGAATTTAAGAGAGATATTGTCCTTTGATATATCTTGTAGAGGTCAAGCATTTTCTGTTAGTAATATTTATAAGGAGCTCTTAGAGGTTGGAGTACCTTAAACTTGACTTACAGGGACGAGTGTGTGCACATGTGTGAGCATTGCACTGCTAATACAAGTTCGGGCACCTGCTGAATGTGCAGTCCTCATACAGCTGAAGTTTCCCTCTTAGATCTCCCAAGATGGACAATCTGTGTGATGGTGTCATGTTTCACTGGGATTGAAACTGATACACACATGGATTTTACACTTTGTACTAACACTGTATGCAAGTGGGGCGAGCAGATGTTTTCCCAAGTTCAAGACACATTAAAATGAGTAAAAAAGTTCATACTGGGGAATAGAGGGTTAATTTTAAGATTCAGGTTTGGCTTTCTTTGAAAATCACCTTCTACCTCTCTCTCTGTGTGTGTGTGTGTGTGTGTGTGTGTGTGTGTTGTGTGTGTGTCTGTGTGTGTGTGACTCAGACAAGGTGCATTTTTGACTAGATGTAAGATTTCTGAAAGATACATTCTTTGTGTCTTGTCAGAAAGGCATGCTCTGATAGTATTGCCATTTAACTAAAATATAAAGAAACTACTGTACTATTACTTTTTAGCATTTGTATTTTTTTTTTGTGTTTGTTTTTGTTTTGTTTTGTTTTGTTTTGGTACTGGGAATTGAACTCAGGACCTTGCGCTTGCCAGGCAGGTGCTTGTGCCTCTGAGCTATATCCCCAGCCCAGCATTTGTGTTAACTTCGGTTGAATGGGGAAATGTCGGGGTGTTAAACTTTTAAGACAGTGTTAATTCAGCCCATCAAAATACAAGTTTTGGGATTTTCCCATTGAGAAAGTGGGTTGTTATAGTTCTGTGCGTGGAGTCCGATGCATCTTAAATCGGTGGCCATGAGGAGAGAACAGTCCTGCAGTCTCAGGTGGGCTGCCTCAGTAGCTCCTTCTCATCTCCTGCTGTGGGCAGTTTCTATATAGACTCTTCCTAAATCATCAGCTACCTTCTACTGCTTAGATCTCTTGTGATATGATTTTATTATTTTTCCCTGCTGATTATTAGGGCTAAACATACTTTGTAAGAAATAAATGAGTAGCCTTAATTTTTATCCTTACCTGTTGTGGAATAGCAACACAAGTTCTACACAGTAGAGCAGTCCACAAAAGAAATTTGGGTTGTTATAACTGAAATAAGACATTTAAATTCCGTGATCCCTCTGCCTTCTGAGTGTCCTGCTGGATCTGAACTTGGGTTCAGAGTGGGTGATTTTTCCAAGACCCCTTTCCCCAAATGTAAGCGCCATCATCATCTTGACCATGATGGGATTGACTCCTGGGAAAGGGAGTTTAAAAAAGAAAGGGAGGGACTCAGAATTTTGAATAGTTTTCTTTTCTTTCTTTCTTTTTTTTTTTTTTTCTGAATTCACCATCTGGAAAGCCTGTGATTGATTAGCTTTGGCCTCCCCTTTAAGTGTCAATATAATCAATGGGAATTACTAGACGAGGGTCATTACATATATAATTTGCCTGCTGTGTAAATAAAAATGAAATTGTTTAAATTTTGCAAGAGAGAAGGAAAGTGAAAATAAGGCATGACAATTTGTTTGTTAGAGAAAGTGGAGGCCATTGGAATGACAGTTTTTGGAAGTGTGGAGCAGTTTGGCTAAGAATAGGAATGAAGGATATTTTTTTCCAGTTTATCATCGCCAGAGCGAGGAAGTGTTATTCCCTCTCTTGCTTGCATACACTGCCAGTAGTGCCTACTTTACGTATGTAAACATCGGGGAAGAGAAGTGGATGTCTGTTACCTGAAGGAGATTTTTTTTTAAAAAGGAAAAGCACAATTTATACCTTTTTTGTTGTTTCTCTCAGCAGGTAAAACAGAAAGGGGCTCATACTCATCTTATGGGAGAGAATCAAACCTACAGGGTTGTCACCAGGTAAGTGTGAACCTCGGCTGGGAAAGGGTGGAGGGAATGAATCTGGAAAATCGGTGTGTTTTGGAAATTTGGATTGTGCATTTTCGACAGTGACACTAAGCGACCCCGAAATTCTGCTCATGACTGCCTTTTTAAGTAATGAAATAACACAGAGATTAGAACTAATAAACACCTCATCTTTAGATCTCTGCCGGATCAGAACAACACCCACTGGCTTGTTTTTATATTTTAATCCATTAACCGGTACCAGTGGCACTGTTTGCAAACCAGCAATGTCGGGTTCTATCAAAGGAGTTTATTTACAATTAAGAACTTAAGAATTCCTTACACAGGAAACGCTTCACAGAACCATGTGTCAGACCCTGGGTTCAGTGGCTATTGCCCTAAAGTGTGGTTTTCCTAGGGACTGTATGGTGTTGTGTGAACACAGGGTGGTACTAGGGGATAAAAATGTCTGTGAAAATATGATTTGTTGTCCCTTTTTGTTTCTGAATTGTTTTTGGCTGGAAGTCAAGGCCAGCAGGCTAACAGCAAAGCCGTCTCAAGGGAAGTATGCGTGAACTAGGAAAATAAGAGTACTTTAATTAAATAATAAAATGCCAGTGTAATACAAAGGTATAGCACGTGTGTGTTTGCGGCTGTGTGCACTATGCATTTGTATACTTTTAACTCTCGGAGAGAACCCATTTCTAAAAGTACTACCACTAGGTACAGGTGGAAGATTTTGTTTCAAGACAACTGAGATTTTATAGGTGCTTTCTTTTTAATTTCAGTGTGGGTATTAATCAGACATTTACATTTTTAAAGTTAATGCTTTTTATAAGAGCTTTGATTTCTTCGGGAAACTCTTGGTACAATTTAATAATACCTTCCCATTGAAAGCTCTCTACTTTCTCCTTATTCACCCAAACAAAATGTACATTCTTTCTGTGCTGGAAAGAGGATGCTTACTCTTTTGAACTCTCAGTCTTTCAGTTTTCTTAATAATATCGAGAAAAATTCATTTGAGATTTTTAGAACAACCTGTTTAATCTGTCTCTGAGAAACATAAGCAGACATGCATTTTAGAAATGAAACAGAGCATCTGAAGGAAGTTTCCTTTACGTTTCACTCATCTATCAGGAGAGGTAAAATTCTGGTGGGTTGGCGGTTTGTTTTTTCTCCTTCTCCTGTATACATTTGCATTTTTAAAGTTGACTCCTTTGGACCAGTTGCCAACTCAGTCATACTCGGCATCTAAAAGATTGGTTGCAATGAGCTGAACAGTGCTTGGTTAAGATCTCCTGCCGGAGTGCAGTTCATGGCAGTTTGTTTGGAAAGAATTCCGCAGGAAAGAAATTTACAGCCATTCCAGCGCAGCGGAAACATCTTTGGAATGTGAGTGCACATGTTCGGGGCAGATAGTCTGGGCGACAAGCCTCTCAGGGCTGGGTCTCTGGTGTAAAGCTCTCAATTCCTGCAGAAGAGCCGGTTCCTGTGGATCTGGTTTCTGAGGGTCAAGGCGGAGGTCACTAGAGTTTTGGGGAGAAGAAAGTTGACAACATCCTTCCTTTTTGCAGATGGTCGTGGCAGAGGTCTGTTTTGCTGGGCCCCTCTTGCTGGTCATTGAGAGAATAGGCTTCCTCGCCCCTGTATCCTTTCTTACTAATAGGAATTGGCATGATTCCTCACAGACACAAAGATTTCCTCTGCTGAGTAAGCGTGAGGCCCCTTAACTTGTGAAAGCATCATCCAGACCGTGTGAGTCTGTCTGTGTGTGCAGAGCACAGACCTTCCTCCCTCCGTCTGTGAGGAATACTTCCCTCGGGTGAAACTGAACTTTTGTTTTTGTTTTTGTTTTTGTTTTTTGCTAACGCAAGGTGAGAAGTGGAGAGGGGCAAAGGGGGGAAATAGAGGTGGCTGGCTGGCATGCGATGGCTGAATTTCTGGGCCTTGGAAGTTTCCTTTTGAGACACTGGTGTCCAGGAAAATTCTTTTGTATGGGGATATGACTGCATCTGCTTTTCTTAAAAAGCCTTCAGAATCTAGCTGTGGAATGTGGAGATTCCTTCAGTCTTGTTTGTGCTACATACTTGTGACTCTTACAAGGACTGTCTCTGTGCTTAGCATGGGCCCAAGAGTATCCATAAACAAGGTGATGGCTTCAGGATAATAAAAGGGAAATATTGGAAATTGCCTGTGTGGGGAACTAGGGCCCAAGGATGAGAAGTATATATCCTATTCATTTTTGCTTTCTGTGAAATGTGCAATTAGAACAGACCATAGTGTATCTTCCAGTCAATCGGTTTCTCTTGCTCTTTCTATTGTACTTTGAATCCCTGTCTCCTACACCAGCTATACAAACCAGAAATAAGGCAGAAATCTCAGTATCTTGGGCTTCACGTCTAAATAGCAGATCACAGCTGAAATGGTTCCCCACTGTGTGACAAGGTGAGTGACTCCTGGGGAAGGAGCTTTTGTTTTCTCCGGTTTGCTATATTATTAAAACCTTTAGATGATCTGCCCTAAGGAGCTAGCCAGTGTGACCTGTGGACCTAATGGATGAGCAGTGTTATAGGGGCACATGTTTGGTCCCAGTATTCTGTTTGGTGTAAAGAAATAGTGCTGATAAGCAACAGGTTCTAGGACACTGTGTTGGAGGAATTACTACGGTGAGATGTACATTGTTTCAAAGGTCCACCATTATATCTGAAAGATACAATGTTAATCCATTTTTAAAAATGAATATTTTAACAGAAAAATATTTGGCAGGTTCTTTATCATCAATGAAGTTGTTTATAGTAAAACTATGAGTAATAGTTGGAATTCCTGTATTTCCATGTGGAATTATCAGAAGTAAATGTGGTCATTTTTGAGACTTTTGAAATTAATATGGAAAATAAACCAGTGAAATAAACCATTAGGCAAAAATGAGCGGCTAAGTAGACTTTTTAAAGTTTATAAATATGGAAAGAAAAATTTAAACCAAATTGGGGTATGGAAATCACACCCAGGCTTAAAACTGTCTTGCCAAATGGCAACATCATACTACTTTTTACGGGCAGAAAAAATAAAACAGAATGGAAAGTGTGACAGAAACGAAATTGAGTAGAAGTAAACTTTTTCACATGATACCCCAACCTTAATCCTATAATAGCAAATACCTAATGCCTAATGGGTGTCATTGCAAATGACAGAAAGGACAAAATATCATTTGCTTTGGACTCTTTCCTGCTTTGAGTAGGACGTTGGGTGGTTCGCAAACTTTTACTTTGCTGAAATCTCCTGTTTTTGCATGAGAAATGAGATCAACACAAATGACCATTATTAGGGCAGAAGTTTTCCTTCAGTGTAGGCTCAGCCTTGATCAAGAGTTGCTTGTCTTTTCTTCCTGGGACACAGCCTGAGTCTAAAGCCATGACTTCTTTATTAGCATTTCCTGCGCGAGGTGGCTATGTGCGAGAGAGATTGATTCACAAAAGGCTGGGTCCTGAGACCAGTCAAATTAGAAGTGTAGGTGTTGGCCTGTGCTTTTCTGATAGCTCCCCAGGTGGCCCTAATGTGTAGCGAGGTCTGATCATTTCTGAGAATGTTCTTTAGAATATATTTTATACGACTTGTGTTCAAAATCTGGCATACCTGCTGACCTTGATAAAGCTATTAGACTTCTTGCCTTAATTAGATTATTGAGGACATGGAAATATTGCATGTGACCTTCATTTAAGGGACAGTGAAAATCCATGATTTCTTGAAAACTAGTAAGATCCCTTGAAATCTGTGTGCAGAATTCTACCACTGAATGTCCCAGCCCATATCCTGTTTTCTCTGATGAAGATGAAGCTTTACCCTCATCTAAGTTCATTTACTTTCCGAGCAAATAATCAAGTCAGATTGTGCTGATAAAGTTATTTGATGTTTAAAACTGATGGATGGAATTAGGCCTAATCTAGTAGTGTATTGTTTTTAAATTCCCCAAACTTTGAAACTGTGCAGGAAATGGGTCTTCTCTGTATCTGACGGGCTGTTCATAAACCTACTCATTTTTTCTTATTAAAGTTAAGCATATGGCTGAACATGAAATGAATTACACATTTAAGAATTGATTCTTCTTTCAATCATTTGTATTTCTGACATAAAATATTTTACAAATGGCTTAGTTATAAAACTTCCGTCCTCTTAAAATTTTTATCTGACATAAAGATAGAATATAAGGAAAAAAGTCACTATCCTTTGGTCTGTTATGAAAATGGCTATTTCGGGCTTGTGTAAGCAGAAGTACATATTTCTTCTTGATGTGATATTGTGGATAAATGTTTGTCCTCAGTGCCGAGTGATTCAGTCCAGGTTCCCTGCGTTCCTCCTTAGAACCTCCTGGGTGCAGGGCCTTGCTGCGCGCCTCCCTGGCACTCTGTTTTCCCTTTATAGCGCCTGTTCAAATGTGCCATTATTTGTGTTCGTTGGATGACTGCTTCCACCAGGATCTGCAAACCGCTGGAGGGCCAGGGTCGTATCTCCTTTATTTTATACCAGGGTACCACGTGCCCTGTAAGGTAATGATTGTGATCTTTTGTTTACTTCCCCAGCATCACGTTTGGAAAACATTTTAAAGGAGTAAAGTTTAAATAGCAGTGTATATGAACCAAATAGTGAACTTTTGGGGGGGGGGCGGTTAGAAAAATCAGAAAACAACATTTAATTTGAAACTCTCTCCTCCTCCTAACCCACTTTACAGGCCCTGGAGGGGCGCAGGGTTGTACTCCGGAGAGGCACTCACTCCAGCTTCCTCTGAGCAGAGTATTTACCCGGTCGCATCACTGTGCTAGGCCTGTACTTGTGGAGAGATCTAGGTAGCAGAATTATAAATGCTTTGTTTTGTTTCTGGTAGGCTTGTTATAGGAACTGAAGTTCAGAACTCTGACTTTTAAGTGTAGCAGGGTGAACAGTCAGAAAAGAGGTTTGCAGTCCCGATAGTTTTAATGTTGCCGGGGTTGAGTTTGCAGGGTGTGTGACGGCAGAGCTCT